GTTTTTGTGCTTATCCCAGATTGTGGGAATAGGTTGGCTAGATAATGCAAATTAAAGAAAAGGAGATGGATGACATTGAGATGCTAGTGCTGACGCGAGGGCTGCTTGTGCCCACTGTCCAATCCTCTGTCCAGATCCTCCCAGCAGCCACCAGTCTTCTCAGCCTCCCTTCAGTGGACTACCGGCACTGTTGGTCCAGCATTATCCTTACCAGAACCACCCTGCTTCAATTGAAATGGTCGCTCCTATCATTGTGTTGTATCTTTTATTATTTCTGTCCTTATTAGTTGGTTACTGTTTTACGTGCTTGTGTTGTTATGTCAAAGCGTCTTTGTTGTAATTTCCTGATTGCAGCAATAAAATATGTGTCATTCGAGTCGTGCTTTGCATTAACTCCGGTATCAAGTACTGTGCCGATGACCAATCATCAAAAAGGCAATGCCCACTGCATTACCAAAGCCAATGCATTAAGTATATGAATGAGTAAAAGAACAGTGCTTGGGTAATTTAAAACCAATTTCCTATAGAATATGTTATAGCTGGAATCAAGAAAGAATTATGAACTCTTTTTTTCAAACATTTAGCAAGAAAACAAAGTTTTGGAGATGAAATATTGAAAGTGAAAATAGCATAAAAGAAGAAAGAACAAACTTCTTCAAATCGCTTTGCAATGAGAGCATCATAATGCTCAAATGCCTCCTCATCCTTCGGAAGTAAATGGACACATCTGAAAGTAACAATAATTATGATCAACTAAAACAGCAGACTACAGTAAAAATCAGCATACATCAAAAAATTAGTCTGCCGTTACCACTAGGAAGCAGACGGATACTGGCCTATAAAAAATGTGTAGATTAACAGCCTCAAGCATGCATACATTCAGGCCCTCAAATATGCACAGTTTGAGAGGGAGTGGGAAAAAGAATAATAAAGCAGATCACATAACATATCTGAATGTAAAATTGACACAAGTTGAATGAAAAAAGTTACTTCAAAATCTCTAAAGTGCCGAGATCATTTCCACAGGCAAAATGAGTAAAATAAATAAAATCTCTATAAACAAATTTTCTATCTACTAGAAAACAAATAAGTCCTAACTAACCTCTGATAGAATTTTTTTTTTTTTCTTAAATGAAGGAAAACAACATTCCTCTGTATGAATGAAACAAGTTATGAATTAAATGAGAATAATACAATGTAACAATTTAATAAATAATTTAAACATACAAAATACTCCTAGTCCAAATGACAATTATTTTCTAATTAACGGCGTGTCAAAAGCCAATAATATCATGATGAAATGGTTTATAACAGAGAATACTAGCCTAAAGCATATATCTTAATAACCATGAAATCATCAACAACATGAAAATAATGATCAATACAATGTGTTGCACTCTATCTAAATTGCATGTACTTTCGGTATAAATCATCAAGTTTTTTATCGTAAAGAATGTTTAGAATATCATTAATAACAGTAACATAGGATTGTATCTAAGTAACATGATTTGTTTGGAGAATTATTCCTGAGGAGCATTCAAATCCTTTTTTTTCTTTTTTCATACATGGTATTTGAGGGATTTTCTATTCCAAATAGGTTCTTATAACTGCCAATAATATTATTTGGTGAAAAGAAAAAAAAAAATTCTAGGCAGTGCATTTACTATTACAAAAAATGAATATAGAAATTTGTAAGCTCATTTATTTGCAAATACAAACTCGAACGCAACAGATAAAGTTACTGTTAAACCATATATACAAGTAAATTAATCAAATATTTTTATTCACATAACAAATACTAATGTGTGAAAGACTCAGGGTGCAAATCCATAGAATTATTCAGAACACAATTAAAAGCTACAAAACAAAAATAGAGAATAAAAAGCCAAAATTATGAATAACCTCAAATCACAAACTAAAATCGGAAGACGGGACTTACATACTATCAAGATCAATAAAGTCTGATTTAACCAACAATGCAGCAAGTCGATAAAGGCCAGAAGGCACTGGAGAGCTAACTTCAATTCTTTGATAGTACTGGAACTTAAAGCCCAATATTTGGGCAGCGTGTGACTGACAAAAAGATAAGCAAAATAAAATTATCACTGAAAAAAGGAAAAATAATTGCAGATATAATTAAAAACAAGAGTTACCTTAGGAAAAATAGGAATGAGACTATAGAATATGCTATTGTCATGATAGAGTTCAAAACATTCCAAGACCTGTTTTAATTCCAGAATTTCAACTTTGAAACAAGTTAAATAGTTTAATTACAAATAAAGAACAAGTAATTATAATAACACTAATTACAACAGCAATCATTCAACTGAAAATTATAAATATACAATAATTGACAACATTTAAATTTAGTTAGACGCTGAAAAAGAAAAAGCGTTAAAAAAAAAGTTTTAAGCACAACTAAATGAAATTACAAAAGAGCAAGGTTGGTGCACTGAGAAAGTATGCAACTTACAATGTCAAAGACACGATTTGGATCCAAATCAAAGTGTCCAATCAATGACTGCCAAAGATTAAAGTTTGAAAGAAATAGTAGGCTGAACAATCACACTAGGAAAGTTAAAAAGCATATTTTCTCACCTTAATTAAGCTGATTGTACCAGAAGATGTATTCTGGCTGACAGCATCTACACCATTTTGACAAAGAAGAGTAACCTATAAAATTAAAAATCAAAGGATAACCAATATATCCAAGTTCAACAATGAGATCAGAAAGGAATTAAACATGCATGGTGACATATGATGCTCTTTTATCACATTACTGGTAGAAGCAAAACAAAAATACTCAAAGTTAACCAAAATCATATCTTTAAACCATTGAGCTTAATATTAAAGTCATGGCTTTCAAAATAACCTATGTACGCAAAAAATAAAAACAGACATAAAGAAAAGAAAATCCAAGCCTTTCTCTTCATGATTAGTGAATGGGGTTTAATAGATCGTACTAGGCATTCAAACGCAAGTTAGTAGAAACTTGTTTAGCAAATGAATAACTGAACTGTGATATGTCAAGTTGTTGCTCATTACCATTTTAACAGTATAAGCTAAACTCAAGCTCATCGGTTTCCACTTAGCATATGGTATACCCCTTTAAAACATAAACTTAGAGCAATAATTCTGATATTTCAGGGAAATAAAAACTTTTTCAAAGAAATTTTAGTGCAGAAGATTGTACTAACTGCACCAAATACACAAGCAGGGATGTAGATTTAGAAAGGCAGTGTGATACAGAGCATGAACACTAAGTTGGCTTGGGCTGTTTTCAAAATTTGCCATGAGCTCAGATTGCAATGGAGACAACCTAACATTTGCTCTTAAAAATGCCCTCAAACAGATTCAAAAGAGAGACTTTTAATACAACCCGAGTAAGACAAAAAATTCTTAAAAGAAAAATGAGCAAATAAAATTAAGTACGGCCTAGACCAAAATGGTTAACAAGAATAGTCATTAATCGCTAAAATGCTTCATAAAAAAGAATATCCTGCAGTGATCAAAGAAGGCATGAATATAACTTTGATTAAATTTGTATAAATCATTAGCATAAGTCAACAAAATTCGTAGGAAGCAGAGGAGATATAATTATGATATAACATATCTCAGTAAAATGTGAACACCATGCTTACAAGCTTGGAATAGCCCTCACTTTCTTCCCTGAGGAGGTTAAATTTTGTTTGTTGATATAGAAGGCGTGTGTTTATTCTGACCTGCAGTTTGAAAAAGCCAATCATAAACAACAGCGCATGCTACAAACAACAAATCAAGAAATAAAGCAAGAAGCATAAATCTGTAGAACCAGACGGTTACATTTAATTCTAGAATATCACTTTATTTCTTGAATTTAATTTCACTTAATGTCATTACAAAGGTACAAATACTTGCACAATCATCATCATAATCATCATTATCATCATCAGCCTATCCCTACTATTTAGGGCTGGCTTTATGAAGCATCATTATTCATTCGTCCTATTTGGCAGCTTGAAATGTTAAGCCTACTTTGTGCTTTTTGTTCAAGAAATCTATCAAATTATCATGGTCGAACCACTTTTTTCCTTGATCTCTTAACTTAATTTTATCAACCATCTTACTTATGCATCTTCTACACTTCCTTGTCCATGTTTAAACTATGCGAGTAAATTTTTCATCAATTTATCTTCAATAGATACTACTTCAGCCAT